CATCACATCACATCACATCACATCACATCACATCACATCACATCACACCACATCACACCACATCACTCTGACCTTCTCTTCTACCTCCCTCTTCTACTTATAAGGACCCTTGTGATTACACTGGGCCCACCTGGATAATCCAGACTAATCTCCCTCTCTTGAGGTCAGATGATTAATTCCACCTGCAACCCTAATTCGCCCCCCCCAATATAACAAGGCATATTCACAGGTTCTGGGGATTACGGCATGGGCATGTTTGGGAGGGGGCTGTTGTTCTGCCTAGCAGAAACGTTCCAATGCAAAATGGATAATTCTCCCGTGGTTTTTTCATATGCATTGTATCTACCTGCTTAAAGGAGGGCATACCTGAACTATCCAACACCTGGTGCTTGCCTCATCTACCTATCCATTTGCTGTTTCCCACTCAGCAAAGTGCAACCTTCTCCTAGCCCCTCTCCATTCACCAACGTGATGCCCCGTTTATCCCATAATGTGGTCTCTCACCTCTCCTTTCACCCATGATTTGGACCCTCTGTGTGCTGCATGCCATGTGCATAGCCCCGGTCTTCAGTGTACTCAGGATACAGGGAGCAGGCAATAAGGGTTAGGTATAATAAGACAGGTGCATTGCATATGCAAGAGAGGAACATGTGTAGGCATACGGATGCACACGCTTAGTGATTCTGTATGTTTCACATTCACTCTTTTTCATTGCTGTCCCTCCAGCTCAGGCCCTGACCTTATCACTTTGCCCCGGCACTAGTGCCACGATCCCCTCCTCACCTCCCTGGCTTCACACTAGCCTTGCCTTTTTGAAGCTTTTAACCAGCTTGGTCTGCCCACCCCCAATCTCGCCAATCTTTTTTCTCATTATCCTCCTCTCCAGCCAAGCAACTATGCTTATCCACCTGCACATATGGCTTGCTTATTTCCATGCTTGCTCTCTGCCTGTGAACACATCCCACTTCTCTCTGCTAATCCATGCCTATCACTTCAAGATCCAGCTTAAAACACTCTCTTGTGGGAAGCCAGTTCTGGTTAACCCCTTCCTATTCTTTTGTTCTATGTTCCACACCATACTTACCTGCAAAATTTACTTCCTATTAACTTTTCTTCATTGCTGTTTTGCTTTTGAAAAAAATAACAGGTTGAGTACTTACTGTGTATCAGGTAATGTGCTAAGACTTTTTACCTACGTTTTCTCGCTTACTCCTGAACGACAGCCTTTGGAGATAGGCATTCCATGTTGCAGTTGAGGAAATCAGTGTTCAGAGAGGTTAAGACACTTTTTGAAGGCCACACAGCTTGGTAGCTGTAGAGCTGGGATTTGAACCTGGTCTGTCTGATTCCAGAGCTCCACACATGTTCTGATGTTGTGTTATTAAGGCAGGTCATGTGTCTTTGTGAGTCTAGTCTCCCCAGTAAGAGTGTGGTCTCTCCTGGGCAGCATTCAGGCCCAGACCTGTGGCTGGATCGCTCCTGGAAATGAGAATAGTGCTCCTCACTCAGGCAATATCTGGCCCTGCTCAGCCTGGCGCCCCCCAGAGCTTTGGACCCAGAAGTCAGTGGTTCTCAAATCCAGCTATCCTACAGAATCACTTGGGGAACTGAAAAGTAGATAAATCCTGATGCCCAGGCTGCACCCTGATTAATTCAATCACAGTCTCTGGAAACAGGACTCAGGCATCTGCATTTTTAAAAAGCTCTCAAGGAAATTCAATTGTGCAGCCAATGCTGACAATCACTTTTACAACATAGAAGACGACTCATTTGGAAAGCTATTTCTCTCTTTTAAAGTCCTTAAATTTCTCAGGAAGCCACATCTACCCTGCATGTCTTCTGCTCCTTCCTGTCCCTTCCCTATCTGTCCATTTGGCTTTTTACCCAACAACATCAGAGGAGGGCAAGATCATTGGTTGAGGAAGTGGCCACAAGCCAATTAGATATCAGCTCCAGGCAGGTTCCTAAACCAATGGGAATACTAGGAATCACAGGTGGAAAAATTAACATAGTAAAGTTTTCTGGATTTCACAAAGACAAAAATAAGTAATTTGCTCTTTTAGAAACAGCAAACACTCCATCTCTTAATCTGCTAACAACATCTCCCTGTGGGAAATCCTTTAAGAAAGGAAAATTGCACCTCTTCTAATAGCTTCCACCAGCTGGCAGGCAGGCCTGCCCCCCCACCCCGCAACTGGTTACTGGGTGTTCAACATGAGAGCCATGGAGGGGGTGGCTGACCACAGTGGCCAGACTCTGCACAGGTAACAGTTCCTTGCCAGTCTGAAGGAGCTGATCTATGAGAAAAATTCTAACATTCCAGAAGAGCTGGACTTTGGGAGGTAAGATGTGGGTGAGGCTCAGCCTGTTCCCCATCTTCCCAGGCTTCCTTGGGTCTGTCCATATATTCATATACCTCCTCCTCCACGATTGCAAGTGTGTATGCCTATGGCAGGGCTCCCCAACTGGTGTGTGCATATCTCTTCAGCCTCTGGGGAGGCCAGGCAGGGCCCAGAGAGGCCAGAGTCTGTGGGCTGGACTATTTATCCCACTGTTCCACATGAATGTCATTTTCTATGTGTGCTGTGACACAAGAAAGATTGGGAAGCTACAGCCTGGGGGTAGCTCTGAGTTCAATTCCCCTGCCTTCTGCTGAAGACCTCTTGTGGGTTGATCTGACACTTCCCAGCCTTCTCCAGCACTGGCTGACCCTAATGTGTGGTCAAGATAGCATGTCCCACAGGGTTGAGAAACGAAAGAAAGATGAGCCTAAAGGGACCCTGGATCTGAACCACTTCAGAATCACCGGCTCTCACTGAAAAGGCTCAAGTGCTCTTTACTTCTTCCTGTGTTCCTAAGGCCTGTCCCTGGAGAGAAGTAGCTCCTCAAAGCTGGGCTTACCTTGGCATCCATGATGCTGGTCTCCACTCGGGCCACGCCCTGGTTCTCCCGGAACAGCTGGATCTTACTGATCTTGCTGAATTCGGACAGCACAGTGGTGAGGTTGGTTTTGAGGTCGATAACATGGCTGATGCCGTGACGGGGTCCCACCAGAAGAGTGGTGGCTGACTGCTTCTCATCCTGGTACCCAAGCGTGGAGGGCAGCATTCACCGAAAGGAGGGCAGAGGAGGTGGCCGATGAGGGGGGAGGAAATAGAAAACAGGCATTGAACTGGTTCTGCTGGGACGTCTGGAAACATCTGAGGCTTAGTGCCAGGACAGGAGGACAACCTCAAGGGGAAAATGGTCTGGGATGTTTCTGTCCCCAGGGCAGGGCCCCAGGTCACTGGTCTAAATGGACATCTTAGCCTCCACAATAGGCTGAGTGAGGTGGTCAGTGGCAAGGCTGGCTCTAGCAAAATTGTGAGCTTTGTTTTTAAAGCTCTGCAGCATCTTCTTCCTACCAATCTCCAGGGATTTTCCATTTGCTGCTACAGGTCACTCGCAACCCCCCCACCCCACCCAGTGCTCTACCTGAACAGGTGGCATCCTGTTTTCCTCTTTACCTCCCTACCCAAGAGCCACTTAAACTCGCGCTTCCCACCTAGTGCCAAAAGCAAAACTGCCATTCACTCTAAGGTGTTAAGGAGTTGATTGGGTGCTTAATAGCAGGGTTGGGATGGAGACTGTGGGGGGCATCTCCTTCCTTAAGAAGCTATTTGCCTTTTAACTGGCACTCCAGCAGTCTTAACCCAAAGGAATGGCGGAATGGCCCCAGTGGCAGAGGGGATGTGCAGGGGTGGGGGGTGTAGAGGGAGGGGGCAGTAGGCTTTCAGGGATCTGCCAATCCAAGTATGTAAATGTCTACCTCTGCACCTGGTGGGCTGGATTCCCTTAAGTGGTCCTGACAGGCTGCTGGGCACCATCAAGCCTCGGCCCTCTGCTGGCCCATTCCCTGGAATTAGCATCACCCCAAGGAACCTCTTTACGTCTGCTCTAGACACTTTGATAAGCGGTTTTCCATCAGTGTGCCCCACGAACATGACAGCGTGTTCCCCAGAGCATGACAAGCACCTGGATCCAGTCCGCAAAATGATTTGAATTTCCTTTCACCACAGCTCACTAGGGTGAATTAGCCTGGGGCACAGGTTGGGGGGGGTACCAGCTGTGCCCCGCTATAGAGAGGGATGTTACTGCAGTGGGGGCCCTGGGCAGGTAGGGGGAAGTACACAGACTCAGAAAGCCTGGGGTGGGGGGCCACATCAGGCCCACCGCCAGTGTTTGTATGGTCCAGAAACTAAGAATACGTTTTACATTTTTAAATGGTTGGAAAAAACTCAAAAGAACCATGTTTGGTGCCATGTGAAAATCACATGAAAATCAAATTTCAGTGCCCATAAAGAGATATTGGAATACAGCCATGCTCATTTGTTTATGCACTGTCTATGGCTCTATTTGCACTACAATGGTGGCTAAATAGTTGCGACAGAGACCTGGGAGGCCTGCAAAGCCTAAAATAGGTACTAACTAGCTCTTTATGCAGGAGGTTTGCTGACCCCTGAAACTGAGGAAAGGGAATGCAGAAGGGTCATGGAGGGATATCGTAAGCAAATATGGCCTCCTACTTTACCATTTTACCAGAGGCAGGACCAGAACACCACGGGAAGGGAGAGGGAGAAAGAGGAGGAAGAGGCAGGAAAGTCTTTGGAAGTATTTGCTGACAGAGAATGCCACCCTAAAGCTGTAGTGGAGTCTCTCCTGCCCCCCACCCAAGCCCAAGTGCACACGAGGGGTTCCCTCCCGACAACTGCCCTCACTGACCAGGCCCACAGTGTTGAACAAAACGCCTGTGAAGGTCGGAAGTTCATTCAGAATTCGAAGATACTGGAGCTTTGCCTGAATTGCAGAGCCCTGTGGAAACAACCCATCCAGAAACATAAGAAGCCTGAGTTGCACAGGAAAAGTAAACTTGTGTTCTCAGGAAGGAGAGTCAACATCTTAGGACAGGCACCGGTCAGACTAGTCAGCAAGCCACACTGGGAGTGTGAGGACACCCTCAGAAAAACTGCTGGAAGGTTCCAGTTTGGACAACTCTAGTATCCCGTCTCCCTTTCTAAACCTTTCTCCTACCTCCTGATCCTTGGGCCTTCAAAACCCAGCTTACTCGTTTTGTTCTTGGGATAATCCTAACACCTTTCCCTAACTCTTGACACCCTGCCTCATCTACATCTCTGTCCTGAGATCCCCTGTTGCCACCTTGGTACGGGCCATCCCCAGCCAGGGTTCTTTCCTCTGCCATTCCCTCATAGAAAAGTCTCTATCAGTGGTACCAGCTTCCTCCAGGCATTAGAGCCAGAAACTTGTGTCACACTGGGCTCCTCCCTCGTCCTATCACCTCAGGACCACCAGCCATCACCTTGATTGTGCTTCCTAACTTCCTTTCCAGACTATCCATACTCCAATCACTCGACCCCTCCACACTGCTGTTAAGGGCAGAAGCCTAAAACATAAGTGTCATCAGATTAGCTGCCTGCTTAAATCCTTCAGTGGCTCCCTGATGACCCCAAGATGAAGTACAGCCCTTCCCCATGGCACACAAGGTGCTCCAACACACAACTGGCTCCTGCCAGCTTCTCTGGCCTTCTCTCTTGTCCCCCTCCCCAGGCATGTTTCCTTGCACTCTCTGTACTTGCTTATTGCTGAACTATTTGCATTTCTTTCCATGCACAATGTTCTCTTATATCCCTGGGGCTTTGTACAGATGGATCTATCTGCCTGCCTGGGAAAGTCTTCCTCCCCGCTACCTCCCCCTCATCTAGACAAACTCCTGTCTGTCAAGACCCAGCTCTGGCATCAAATGCACCCATTTCTGGCCTTTTCTACCTCCCTAAGGCTTGGCTGGGTGTTCCTCCTCCTCCGTGTTTCCAGGGCCCCCACGCCTGTTGCATCATGTTGTGACTGACTGTCGCAGTGTGCTGTGACTGTCGTGTTTCCCCACTAGCCTGTGCCTGATTTGAGGGCAGAGAGCAGGCAGGCCTTCTTCATCTTTCTGTCTCCAGCCCAAGTAGTGGGGGTCCTCAAAAAAAAATGTTTGCTGAGGAGATGGCTGGGAGCACTGATGTTCTCCCTCTGGGAAGAAAAAAACGATTTGATTAAATATGCACAGCAAGGTAGGAATGGCTTAACTCTCTGGGGAAATTTGCATCTTGAAAGAGAAGCTAGTTGGTGATACAAGGAATCCGGAATGGGTAGAATATATGGGGGCGACTGTGTCCTGTGTCTACATCTGTGTGCTGATTCTAGTGCCTTTCACCACCCTCCAGCCTCCTGGGCAGGAAGCACCAGCAGACTGGGAAGGGCCTGGGACCTTCAGGTCTAGAGGGGCAGGGGGTGGGAGTCCCTCAGAGGGCATTTGAGAATGTGTAGGAGAGCAGGGCAGTGACGTGAGCCTTCCATAGGCTGCCCAGTTACCCATTCTCCGGGTCAGGCCTTGCTGTACCAAGCTGTGCTTCTATCTCCCAGAATTCCCTATGGCAGGACTGATGAATTAGAAAGCTAATGAGGAATGGAGCAGTCATTTCCGTGGAAAACATGCCTCCCCAGTGTCCAGTGCTGTCCACACAGCAGGTGCTCAATCAGCACTGACTAAATGGGTGGAATGATCCAAGAATTGCCTCCTCCTGCATCCTGGTCCCTTTGCCTTGAGGATACTGGGCTCTCTCAGTGACTTGCCTCTGAGCTGTCTCTGGTGGTGGCTCAGGTTTGGGAAAAATCCCTCTCCATAATCATCGCCCATATCCAGCCAAGCTGTCTGTGTACCCAACTCAAAAACAGTGGGGAGGGTCCCCAGGAGGCCAGGCCTGCTGGGAAACCACACAGGAGACCCCCACATTCACTAGGGCCTGAGGAGGGCACCCAATGGATGACAATGGGTACCTTGGTGCCGCTGGAAGGATGTGTTTGGTGGGCCTTCAGCTGCTGAGAGAGAGATTTCCGGAGGTTCTTCTCTTTGATGCCCTGTAGGAGGGAGGGGGGAAGAAAGGGTTCCAGGCCCCATTCCTTCCTAAAATCAGAAGAAAAGCAAGAAATTAGTGAGAGAGACATAAAGTGGGGCAGAGAAAGCAAGATAGCAAGGCAGGAATTGGATCTGAGAGTCAGAGGAAGGGAAGGAGCCTGCGAGAAAAAGACAGATGGGGGCAGGAGAATCACATTGGCCATAGTTCTCTAGCAGAAGCTATAGCTCAAAGGCATCACAGTCTAGGTGTGAGGAATTCCAATTCTCACTCCCACCCCAGGCCCTCTGTTCCAGAAAAGCATAGCACAGCTCAACCATTGCACTTTCTCCCTCTACAGTGATTTGCCGCCTTCCTGAAGGGCCCTGGCAGAACTCACTCCACATTCTTGAGCGAGATCTTCTGACTAGGTCGAGTGGCTGAGACGGTGATATAGATGTGGAGGGCAGCAAGACCCAAAAGCATCTCCGGCTTGGGGTCCATTCCAAAGCGTTCTCGGATAACATCATTCCGACTCTGCAGGAGAGGGCAGTCCAAACCTATCAGTTTAAAAAGATGTTCCCTTCCCCCCCCCCCACCTCGCCCCTGATCTACTCCCTTGAGTCCCAGAAAAAAATCATGGTGTCAAGTAAGACATCCTAGGTAAAGGGGAGGAGGAGGTTTCTGCCCTTGGGGGAAAGGCAACAGAGGGAACTTAAGTCTCAGGGACACTATTTGCTTCATCCACCAGATACTGGACAGGTTTCTCAATGATAGATACATACAATGGCTAGGCACAAATGGGCAGAACATCTAGGTCACTGCAAAAGTGACACATGGCACCACTCTATTTCCTTCCTCCTGTTATAAGAGGCCTTCCTGCCTTTTCTTGGAGGCCTAAATGCATTCCCCAGTCATACAGGGATCCTCTACTAGCTCAGATGGTAATAAAGAGAGACCCTGGGAAGAGTTCTCCATAGGGCTCTAACCCAAAAGCCCAGGATGAGACATGGATTGCAGGGATGGGACAGATATTCTGCTCCTTGGGGTCTGAAGGTTAAAAGCAAAAATGAGTCACTCTTCCCTATGTTATCCTAAAGGGGGTCCCCTGGAGCTACTTGCTAAGGGTATGACAGCCCTCAAGCCCTGAGAATTAGAGTCCTAGCTATTGATTCAGCATTGGTTAGATCAGTTGCTCATTTTGTTGAGGTTAAACCAGGATGAACTAAGGTACTAGGGAGCCACAGTGGTATCACTACAGCATAGGAGAGAGTGGAAAAGGAATGCTTCATCCATGATCATTTATGTAGAAAATCCAATGGTATCTATAAAATACCTATTAAAACTAACAAGTTAGCAAGGTTGCAGGATATAAGAGCAACATATATAAACCAATTGCATTTCTACATGCTTATGACAAACAATTGGAAATTCAAAGTAAAAGTCAAAACCATTTACAGTAGCATCAAAAATATATAATTAGGGATAAATCCGTAAAAATAAGCGAAAGGCCTGTACACTGAAAACTAGAAAATACTGATGAGAAAAATTAAAGAAGACCCAAATAAATATAGAAATATACTGTGTTCATGGGTCAGAAGACCCAGTAAGATGTCAATTCTCCCCAGTCTGATCTATAGATTCAACACGATCTCAATTAAAATCACAGCAGATTTTTGGTAGAAATTGACAAGTTAATTCTAAAATTCAATGCAAAGGACCAAGAATGACCAAAGAGTGTTCTTATTTGAGAACAAAGCTAGAAGATAAACACTACCTGATTTTAAGATTCATAAAGCTACAATAATCAAGAGTGTGATGTCAACATAAATATAGACAAGTAGATCAATAAAGAGTTCTGAAACAGACCCACACGTATATAGACAAGTGCTTTTTGACAAAGGTGCAAAGGTACTACAGTGGAAAAATAACAGTCTTTTTAACAAATGGTCCAGGCACAGTTGGATATATCCATAATACAAAAAAAAAAAAAGAAAGAAATTTGATCACTAACTTGTACTGCCTAAAAACTTTATGTCAACATGGATCACAGACCTAAATGTAAAAACTAAAATGATAAAACTTCTAGAAAAAAAATAGGAGAAAATCTCTGTGACCTTGAGATTTTATAGATATGACATCATGAACATAATCCATAAAAGCATTATCTGTCGGAGAACAAATTGAGAAATTGGACTTCATCAAAATACAAACACTTGCTCTGTGAAAGACACTGTTTAGAGACTGAAAAGAGAAGCCACAGACTGGGAGAAATAACATATCCAACAAGCAACTCGTATCCAGGATATATGAGGAAGTCTCATAACTCACTAATAAGAAGACAACTCCAGTAAAAAAGCAGGCAAAAGATTTGGAAAGACACTTCAGTAAAAAAGATGCGTGTTGGCAAACAAGCACACAAAAAGATGTTCAACATCATTAGTCACCGGGAAAGTGCAAGTGAGATACCACCGAGATGCCACTGCATACTATTAAAATGCCTAAAAACTGGGGCACCTGGGTGGCTCAGTCGGTTAAGTGTCCGACTTCAGCTCAGGTCATGATCTCACAGTTTGTGAGTTTGAGCCCCGCGTCGGGCTCTGTGCTGACAGCTCAGAGCCTGGAGCCTGCTTTGGATTCTGTGTCTCCTCCTCTCTCTGCCCCTCCCCTGCTCATGCTCTGTCTCTCAATAATTAATAAACTTAAAAAAATTTTTTTAAATGCCTAAAAACAATACCAACAATACCAAGTGCTGATGAGGATGTGGAGAAACTGGAACTCTCATACATGGCTGGTGGGAATGTAGAAATGGTACCACCACTTGGGAAAACAGTATTGGAGTTTCTTTTAAAAAAAAATTAAAGAGAGATCTGCTGTACAATCAAACCATTCCATTCTCAGGTATTTGCCCAAGAAAAAAGGGAGCATGTGCCATACAAAGACTTGTGCATGAATGTTTGTAGAAGCTTTGTTTGTAGTAGCCAAAACCTGGAAACAACCCCAAAGTCCATCAGCAGGTAAACTGAGAAAAACATTTTGGTACATCCATACTGTGGAATACCACTCAACAATGAACAGGAATGGGGTCATGGTACACACAAAAACAAGGATAGGTCTCAAAATCATACTTGGTGAAAGAAGCCAGACCAAAATAAATGTACAGACTGTATGATATCATTTATATAAAACTCTAGAGAATGCAAGCCAATCTATAGTGACAGAAAGCAGGTCAGTGATTGCCTGGGAATGGGGGGTGGTGAATTACACAAAAGCCTGAGCAAACTTTTGGGGGCAACAGATATGTTAAGTACTTTGATTGTGGTGATGGCTTCATAGGTATAAACATATGTCAAAACCTATCAAGTTGTTATTTTAAATATGTGCAGTTTAGGGGAGCCTGGGTGGCTCAGTCGGTTGGGTGTCTGACTTCGGCTCAGGTCATGATCTCACAGCTCGTGAGTTCGAGCCCCACGTCGGACTCTGTGCTGACAGCTCAGAGCCTGGAGTCTGCTTCGGATTCTGTGTTTCTCCCTCTCTCTCTACCCCTCCTCCGCTCATGCTCTGTCTCTCTCTGTCTCAAAAATAAATAAACATTAAAAAATTTTTTAAAAATATGTGCAGTTTGTGTATCAATGAGACCTCCATAAGGCTGTTCAATATAAAAAAGAAGGAATTACAGGTGAAGTCCATATTATCACGAAGGGGAGAGAGAGGGTGGACATGGTCTTGACACTAGATTCCGAAATCATTGGAATTAAAAATGACTCCCAGGAGAAGAAATTTAAGGCCAAAAGAAATGAGAACTAACCTTATAAAATTCATAGAGGAACCACAACTCATTGCCCCCTAGAGCACTGGTTTGGGAGCCCAAGGTTGTTTGAGAAATGTTCCCAACATTTTAGATAGCTAGAAGGGCAACCATGATGTTTCACAGCACATCTTCAGGTGTCGCTATCGCAGACATCATCAGAGATGAGTTTTGAGCCTATTTTTCTCTTCTCCTCAAGCACTCTGTATGTTCCATGAGCACCTAAAACTCAATACATCCCCCAAATGAACTCATCTTTTTCCCAAACCCACTCTACTTGTATTCCTTAACTTGGAGAATGATACCACCTCCACTAGACACTCATTGAATCTAAGACCATTGATTTTCCCTTTTAATTATATCTTGAATCCCACCCCACCCCATCTATCACTGCCCTGGTTCTGGTCCCCATCATCTCTCCTCTGGATAACCGTAACAGCTCCCTAGCTGGTGTACTTCCTCAGCACTATGTAACCTTTCAAATTTGCTCATCTGACTAGGTTACTCTCCCTTCAACATTTCTGTACCCCCACCCTACAGCAGAATTTCTTTACCCTGGCTACACATTCAAATCGCTTGAGGGATTTAGAAAATATTAATGTTTTGATTTGGTCTTGGGTGGAGCAGAACTTTTTTTTCCCCAAACCTTCCCAGATAATTCTAATGTGCAGCTACAGTGAAGACCCACTGCCCTAAAACAGTGGTTCCCAAACTCCAATGGGCATCAGAATCCCCTGGAGAGCCTGTTAAAACACAGGTCTAAATCACTTTGAAGCCTGTGCCTGTCATGACGTGTCAAGCCCTTCACCACCTGCTTCCTGTCTCTCCCATTTCATTTCTTATTGCTCCTTACCTCACATTCTGAACTCCAGGTAAATAAGTTACTCATAGTTGTCTCATCAGAGCATGCTGTTTCATGCCACCAAGACTTTGTAGCTGCAAGTCCCTTTGCCTAGAATGTGCCCCCTCCACTCCATGTCTGTACACAGCAAACTTCTACTCATCCTTCAAGGCTAAGAGTGTGCATGTATTGCTTCCTCTGTGAAGCCTCCACTATCCTCCATCCAAGAAGAGTTGGCAAACTGCCTCCTCTTGGCTGCTCCGACTGACACTGTACCCTGCCATCATTACAGGACTGTCCCACTGTTTTAGATTTACTTGTGCATATGTCTGTCTATGAGATCCAGAGAGCTAGGACAATTTATTGTTTACCTTGATTGGCAGCACCTAGCACAGGGCCTGCTCCAGAGTCAGTGTTCAGCAAATGTTTCGTCAGTGTTCAGCAAATGTTTCGTCAGTGTTCAGCAAATGTTTCTGGATGAACTGAATTCGGAATCATCTCCTTAATGGAGCTAGTCACTGGAGGTTGAGTCACCCTATTACCCAAGTGGGCTCAGTAAACCTTGGGATCCTGTGATATTGACAGAATTCCTTGGGTTGCTTGCTCCTGAAAAACTGATGAGATCTGTCTAGACAGAGAGACAGGACTTGAGCCACAGCCGGCTCCAGTCACCAGGCTAAACAACTTGGCCATGGCCTACGATGGTAGCAGAAAAGGAAAGGGCTTTCAGGGCTACCTGGAGGTTGGAATAACTTACATAGCGACTTCACAGTGATGGCAGAACAGCCTGACTGCTTGCTAGTCCACTGGTCTGTCTGTCTGTTTATCCCCAATCAGACTCTACCTGGATGTACAGGTACTCAAAAGCAGCAGGATCCCGGCGCAACAGTTCCACGGGGTCTTTGGGAAAGAAGCTTATTCGGAAGAGGCATTTCATTCCTTGATAGTGTGTCCGCTGTACGACCTGAACACCAGGATGAGAGGTGGGAGGAAAAGACACCTGGGAATCAGTAGCTGTAGCAAAGAGAGCCAGCAGGGTGACCCCTCAACGTGGGGCTTGGGGGTGGAGGTAGGGTGCTACTTATCATGGTCTCCCACCTGGCCCTTTCCAATTATCCTCAGAGGAAAGGTCTTGCCTGCCCTTCTGGTCCAAGGGGACTAGAATTTTTGAATCACTTAACCAGGACATGGCCTTCATCAACAATTGGGTCTAAGGCCCAAGACAAGAGGTGGGAAGAGAGGGCTCCTGGGAACTTCTCTCTGACTCTTCTTTTTTTTTTTCTCCAACGTTTATTTATTTTTGGGACAGAGAGAGACAGAGCATGAACGGGCGAGGGGGCAGAGAGAGGGAGACACAGAATCGGAAACAGGTTCCAGGCTCTGAGCCGTCAGCCCAGAGCCTGACATGGGGCTCGAACTCACGGACCGCGAGATCGTGACCTGGCTGAGGTCGGACGCTTAACCGACTGCGCCACCCCTCTCTGACTCTTTTCTCACTGTGGGGCCAATGCCTTTACCTTGCAGAGCGGCTCAGCTGCAAGCAGGGTACGTTGCTGATTAAAAGCCAAACCAAAGATTTAAAATCCCATTTGGAGGTACAGGTGAAACAAGTTGGTAATATATTGGTAATTGCTGAAGCTGCCTTGGGTAACGAGGATTCATTATACAATTCCTTCTACTTCTGTGTATGTTTGAGATTTTTTTTTGTAATAAAAAAGTTTAAAATCCCATTTGGCAAAAGAGACCAATTGGATTCAAAAGGCCTCTTGAGAGGCTGGAGGTGCTTAGGCCCCCCCTTCCAAGCTACTAATCTTCCCTTCACAGGTGGGAACGTAGGAGGAGTCTCTGGACTGCATTTGGCTGAGAGCTAAACTTGAAGAATTTCTCTTTCATAAAATCCTTTCATTTTTGTGTGTGTCTGATTTTGATTTTTACTATGCTTCCATGTAGGCATTTCCTCCCCAACTGTCCCTCTCCAATTCCTTCCCCCCCTCTCTGGGAACACTGGTTGGCCCTGGTTGGCCTCTCTGACTCTTCTTGGTGATTTGCCGTTGGTGAAATGCTAGCCAGCTTCCCCAGTCTCTCTCTCTCTCTCTCCTACTCTGCCTTGGAAGTTGATGTGGGTGACATGCTGCCCATTCTGGGCCCCACTCAGCCCATTCTCAGCCCACACTTGTCCTGCCCTCAGTGGTCTCAGTACGCTCCACTTGTTGACCTTTTCATATTAAAGCCTTCATCTGAAGGCCACGTTTCCTCTGAGGCAGGGCTTCCAGGACACAGGATGGTTGACACTGCTGTTCATGTTAGCATTCCGGGAGCCATGAAGTGACCCATCACCCCACACCTTCCCCACCAGAGACCAGGACTAACAATCTTCATGCCCTTCTTATGTCATGAGGAATATCATTGAAAGCCTGCTGGATGTGGTTAGTATAGACGTCACTGTGAACCATAACTTCTGGGATCCGGCTGAGCAAATTGTTTTGAATTTTCCAGAAAGAGAGTGCCTGGAGTCCTCTTCTCTAGTAGAGGCCACATGCAAAGTTCTTGAGCCAGGCTAAAGGAGTTACTTACATAAGCCAGGGGTTGCTTGTCCTGGAGAAGCAGGAACTTGTGGTTCTGTTCTGGCCCGGCATACTCAAGGACAAGAGCAAAGTGCTCAATGTACCTCAGGGAAAGACGGTCCTGTAATGTTACAATCACATCCTGTGGAAGAGAAAAGAAGAGCCTTGAGAGGGAGATACATTCCATTTCTAAGCCACTCTCAGCACCAAACATGGAAGAGGGAGATGGAGCACCAAGAAAGATGGTCCTGGGGAGGGGGCTGAGGCTAGGGAGTGGCCAGAGACACAGGCCTTTATAGTGGCCCATGCATTCTCCAGGATAAGGAGAGTGACCCATGAGTACTTGGGCCCTGGGGAACACCAAAAGGTGCAGGGGGTAGAGGAAGGTGTTTTTGAACTTGGCCCAGCCAGGCATATGACAAAAGAAGGTCATGTCCCTCCCTCCCTCCTTTTCTCCTTCCATTCAACAACACATTTTCTGAGTGCTTACTAAGCAAGTCAATGAATAAGGAAGACACTGTGCTGGTTGTTCCCTCACCTTACATAAGTCAGAATGTTCACTGTAGTTTGTTTATCAACTCTTTACTTAAGAATTAACAAGACCGAGAGCCACAATTATGTGATTAAAAAGAATATTTCTGGATTCATAATCTAAATTGAATGACTCGAGTTACTGGCAGGATGTTCATTTTTGATTGTTGCTGGCTTTCAGAGACGATCAATTTGGCAACTTGAGAAATGTGTCCACGCAGAGAAACTGTCACGTGTCTTGTGTACAGTCATAAATCTGACTCCTTCTGGGCTCTGTCTGCTCTGCTGCCCTACTTTTAATATTAGGATGTCTGGAAACATATCCTTGGGGGCCGTCCAAATGTCAGTTTTGAGACTTCTGCCATCTATTTGCTGGGACTTCAGCACACACAGGGCTTCAGTATGCGTGTTCGTGGAGTCAGCACAGCTCAGCTCCCCAAGTCCAGAAGGAAGCAGGCTTGGGAACGTGAAGCTCCCTTACAGCTGGGGTTGCCAAACAAGCCCCTCAGTGAACAGGAAATGACGCTTAGCTATTCAGATGTTAGGCTGGAAACTGGTGGGTACTTGAGAGTATCTCTTTGTATCATCCAAGCAGTCACAGAGGCGCCAGTGTTGCTGGAGCTCTGGCAGGGACAAATGGGGTTTTCTTTGCAGTTTGGCTGCATTTGGGATTGTGGATGGCCAAGCTGGCGACTGCCAACTGGTATTAGAAGTGTAACAGCTCCCATTCCAGGCTGTTAATTCACCCAGGTACCTCTCAGGGATAAATGGCTTCGCAGCCTGTCCAAGTTCCAATGAATAGCCAGTGTACCTTCCCTGAGGTCAGGGTGAGATCACAAGCCAGGGGACACTGCTGGCCTGGAAGGCTGGGACTACCTGGAAGCAACAACAGCGGTGTCATTGTGAGGTAGGAGAATGCTCGAAGAAGCCTCCAAGGGGGAAAAAAGAGGAGTAATTGTTCAGTGCAGAGGCAGGTCTCCAAAGGGCATACCTACCCATGAATGAACACCAAGAAGGACTCCAACACAGAGACATATCCACATCTGGAGGTGGGGCATCTGGACACCCCTCAGTGGCCTAGTTGTATTTCAATGTCCCTCCCATAGGCGAGATCTTCAATGGGCAAGAGACCATCCCAGGAGACCCTAAGAAGTATATTTCAGTCCTATGCCTCCAGGGAACCATCCAGGCCGAAGCCTTCCAAAGAAACTCCAGTTCCATCAACATGGGTTAGGCCCAGTGTTTTGTGACTTGGGTGCTGCCGGCACTTTGGGCAGGACAATTCTTCATCTTTAGGGACTGCCTCACTCCCTGCAAGACACTTAACATCTCTGCCCAGAGACACTCAATGCCAGCAGCACGCCAAATCATGGGATGACCCCACATCCCCTCAGACATTGCCAAAAGCTGTCTGGGAGAGAAGTGCCAATTCTGACCACCTGATAATTCCTCTCAGGGAAGTTTCTTGGCCCTGGGGTTTCTTTGTTTATAGAATTGTCTTGGCCTCAGCATGGGGACCTCGGGACACCTGTGAGCCAAGGTGGGTTTTCTGGGCAGATGCTATTCCATTGGTTGTATGCAAATTCATTCTGGGGATGGCATTCTCTTTCTGGAAGGAGTCCAGAAAAAACAGGAAGTGGTTATTTCTGTCCCAGATAAGAATTGAACCTGGGGGTTAATCGTTTCATTGCCTTTGCTCCTCAGCACTAAGGGAATCGCTACAACTTTTAGACGGCTGGCTGAGGCTGGCTGAGCTCTTAAGAATCACAGCTCAGTAATTGTTTTTCCTATGAAAGGAAGAGCCAACGGGACTGTGGCTGGACGTTTCAAATCTTGGTTTAGTGTTTAAGATCTGGTTCTTATTTAAAAAGCAAAGCATGGCTAAGCTAATCTCCCAAGAGATTGTGTTTGTTGATTTCTGTGTGTAAATGTGTGTAGATGTTATTGTAGCAATATAAATCACTTTCGCTTTATAAATGGTTTAATAATCTTCAAACTTCTTAGCTCCTAAGAGTCTTGAAGGACCTGGTGTAACATGGACACAAAGCAATCCACTAGTAGGTGTGTACACACACATGCACCCGTGCTTCTGCGCATATGTGCGTGCACGCACACGCACACACACAGACACACACACACACACACACAGCTGGGCACTCAAATTCTCCCCTCCCCCAACACCCTCATCTGAGGGCTGTGTGTTCTTGCAGACTGGTGCTCCCAGAAGCTGAAGCTCAAAGGCCACCTTGCTCCAGACGCAACTCTGTGCAGACTCAGATAAACCCAGGAACCAGCAGCTCTGTATGCTCCAGAGAGGGCAAATGTTGACCCAAGACAGGACACTCTGTATGTACCTTAACAGTGGTCCGGCCATCAAACGTGAATGATTTGATCTGCCCATTTTCTAAGAAAACCTTCAGGACGTTGGGGATGAGGAGAAGAGCTTCTTTCTTCATCATTTTCTGTGAATAGGCAGGGAAAGATCAAGGAGAGGGGCTCATTTAGAAGGCAGAGGGAAGCCAGAGGAGGGGTATAAGTAGGAAGAGAAGGGAGAGAAGGAGACGGGGAGCCAAAGATATGGAAGGACGGAGGGACAGAGGAGAGAACAGACCGATGATCACATCACATGCAGATCAGAACCAAATGCTCCAAGAAGACATTGGGCCATATCAAAAGTTCACCCTTCATTTGATGTCACAGCCCACCCCATTCTACCATGGCTCCAAGTTCCACAGCTTTGAGTGGTGCTTGGTCCATAGAGACCATCACTAAAGACCAGATGGAAGGCCTCCTTAGGAGCCCCCCTCACGGGCCTGCTCTTATATCCTGACACTTCCCTTTCCACCAGACTCTTCACACACTGAGGTCACTTCAACATCCATGCCTTTGTTCTGCCCTTCCCTGTCCCCCATGATCTCCTATGTCCTTTCTGACCTGGCCCTACCTATTTCTCCAGAGTCATGTCTCACTGGTGCATGTACCCATCCTGCTCTTTCACCCCTCCTTACCTCTGACAATTCATCGTTCAGGGACTGTGTCACTCCCCGCAGGGTACTTAGTATCTCTGACCATGAGACACTAAATGCCAATAGCATGCCAAATCATCAGGATAACCCAAAACATCCTTAGACATTTCCAAAAGCTCTCTGAGAGTGGGCAGTATTGACCTTGATTGAGAACCTCTGGTAAAGCCGCTTTGTTTTAAATGTTTATTTATTTTGGGGGCAGTGCAAGTGGGAGAGGGGCAGAGAGAAGGGGACACAGGATCCGAAGTGGGCTCTGTGCTGACAGACTGACAGCAGTGAACCCAATGTGGGGCTTGAACTCATGAACCATGGATCATGACCTGAACCAAAGTCAGATGCTCAAGCAACTGACCCACCAGGTGCCCCAAAGCCCATTTCTGAACAGCTGATATCTTCTTAGCAAAAGTATTCTTGGCCCGGGTGTTTATTTGTAGAGTGCTAAAAGGTAAATAAATATTTGTGGTGGTTTTTTTTGTTTATTTTTAAAGTTTATTTATTTTGAGATGGAGAGTGTGCGTGAGCAGCAGAAGGGCAGAGAGAGAGGTATAGAGAGAAAGAATCCCAAGCAGGCTCCGAGCTGCCAGCGCAGAGCCTGATGCAGGGCTCGAACCCATGAACTGTGATATCGTGACCTGAGCCTAAGTCAGAAGCTTAACCAACTGAGCCACTCAGGCGCCCCTCAATATTTGTTAAATAAAGACTGTTCTCTCTGCCTTTCTCTTTCCCTCCTTGGCAAACTCCTACTCATCCTTCAAAACCTGGCTTAAATACAAATTCTGTAAAGTCTTGTCCCAACTCTTCAGGTGCTTGGACCTGGTATTCCCACGTGTTCCTACAGCAATGTATACATACTTCTCTCAATGTTCTTAGCATATTTTTGAAGAATGTTGGTCTCTCACAAACAGTGAACTTAGAGCACATCCATGTCCTATTCAATCTTTGTAATTCTGACATTGAGCAGAGTTCCTGGCATACAGTTGGTGCTCAATGAATGGCTGCTGAATATATGAGTAACAGGTGCTTAATATGTGCTTACTTGAATGATTAGAATCATCAGGAGAACCCAACCATTTCCCGGGGCCATCACCAGTTCTACAGGAACTGAAAAGCTGCATAAGATGGCTAGATTCCTTAATTCAGTGGGCATTCATTGAGCCTCTAGTATATGCCCAGCACTATGCTAAGCCCCATGAGGCCCAGACAGAAATAGAGGGCTGGGTCTGGTCTTACACTCTTGTGAACACCCACACGAATCCACTAGAGAACAATTGTAAAACCGAAAACAAACCAACAGGTATAAGATAGTTAAGGTTTCCTAGGTGAGGTGACTTAGATTTTGATTTCAAAGGAGATGGTAGGTGTAGACTATTAAGAGAGGCTAGCAGAGGGACAGTCCAGACCTAGGGACCGTCATGGACAGCATGGAAAAATGAGCAAGCAAGCCCTCCTGGGTCAGGGTATGATTGGTGGTGGTGGGGAGCCAGGAGTCAAATCGTGGTAGGAAGTGATGGGGTATAAAGTTGGGAAAGTATGACTCCCTGGTTCTCTCACTGATCCTGAGATGCCTTGCTCCTACCAAGCCCTGAGGCCCTGGATCCCCAGGCTGATGACAGTTGGCAGTGGCAGGTTTTATTTAGCACACTGGGGTTGGACTCAGATAATTACTTAATTGATTTTGCTTAAAAATAGAGTTGGCAAGGAACGCCCACGGGATTTATTTTTGCTCTGGCTGCTTACTAAAGCCCTGGAACACCAAGGCAAAGGGATGATAGGACAGCCCAGAGTCACCTGGGCCTGGAGTTCCCTAGGTCTCAACCAATGGTGAGGCTGCTAGGGTCCATACTGGTGGTGTGGGAGGTAGGGGTTGTTGTGACATCAGGTAATTTCCTGAGTACAGCAGAGTGGGAAGATTGATGTCTCTCTCTCTCTCTCTCTCTCTCTCTCTCTCTCTCTCTCTCAGACAAGAGCCCCAAACTGTGCCTGGTGGTCAGTCCAGGAGCGACAGAAGTAACCCTGGGCGGGTCCTAGCTACTCCAGGGCCTTTGCTTTCAGGTTGGTCTGGAGTGGGGGCTTGATCCTACCTGTGGATAGCTGAGACTTATGGAGAGGGGGGTCATAGTGGAGCAAGGGGAGAGTGGGGAGGGGAGAGTGGAAGGGAGAGGAAGAGATGGGAGTAAAAAGGGGGAGGTGGTAGGGAGGTTTTCATTGGGTAGCCAGGTCTTGATTGATTACTCTGTAATGCTGAGATGGGATAGTCTGTGCTTTCTAAATCCAATTTGCATTGGCTCTGGGTTTTCAAGGGTTCAGGGCACAAATGTCTCCTTTGTGGCTCGGACCTAAGGGTGTTATTCATTGTGATCTGTAGGGACTCGATACTGTTGCCTCGTCTCTCTGCTCACCACCCCCCACTTCTCTTTAACCTCTTCTGCTAGGACTGATATGGAGCCCAGCCTCCAATTACTTGACGGCTTACCCAGTGGGACTCTGTAGGCTCCCAGGCTTTTCAGCCTTCCTCGAACAGGGATGGAAGAGGGCCTAGGCTGAGTCTGGGGATGAGTGTTGGGGAAAAGGACATGGAAGACACCTGTGTCCTCTGTCCCATCTTCTGAGTGGCACTGCTTCAAAGAACTACAGAAGTGCCTGGTGCCCCACTGATTTCCCCACTCAGGCTGGGCCTGCTGGCTTTTCTCAAGTGTAGCTGTGCCTCCGTACATAAATGCCACAGGCCCCCTGAGAGGCCTGCCTGCAAAAGCTTGCAAAAGCACACAAATGCCTGTTAGCTCTGGCTCTCTCCACCCGCACCTGGATATCACCGATTTCTGCAGACTCCTGGGTGGCTCTGGCCATAATCCATGACTGCTTAACACATATCTCTCTGCTCTCCATCCACCTCTTCTCATTTGCTTATCTGGAGCAGACAGCTCGGCTCATGTAAACCCCATACAGCAGTGAGAAAGACTGCAGGCTGGCCAAGACTCTCCCAGTTGGGCAGCTACATAGCATGGGCTGTCAAGCATCACCTGTTCCTTGAAACCATACCACCCAATGGGGGATTCTATGTATCTCAATCTGAACTACTTGTCCCCCGCCCTGCCCCAACATTACCCAGTGGTATCCAGTGGCAGGGAGCAGGTGTTCATTTCCCATGCCATGTGGTACTGGGAACACAGAAGGTGCCTAATAAAAGTTTTGTGATGGGGGGCACATGGGTGGCTCAGTCAGCTGAGCATCCGACTTCAGCTCAGGGCATGATCTTGTGTCAGCCAGCTGCTGTCAGCGCAGAGCCCGCATCAGATCTCTGTCCCCCCCACTCTGCCCTTCCGTGCTTGCATGCTTTCTCTCTCAAACATAAATAAATCTTAAAAAAAAAAAAAAAGCTTTGTGACAATGAGAGTCTGTATCATTTCCCGTAGGCTGCTTCACTAGTCAAGACGTGCCGTGGCAGGATTACTTTAATGCGAAGACAGCTCAATTACACCAGCCACTCTTGCTCCAGATCTTCAGAAAACCACCACCTCTTTCCTGCTTCTATAAAATAGCCCGAGGATGTTTGTGGAGCACTTGTTCTGAGTGGATGCTATCGTGCCAGGGACAGCAATTTCTCTAAGCACCATGAGGGGCCTGAGTGAAGTGATACAGGTTCCTTCGCCCCACAGTGCCCAGGGCTCTTCTGGATGCCGCGTTCTCCTATCTTACAACCAGCCTGGAGCCCTGTGGTCCTCCCTCTCCCCTCCAGCCCTTTTGTAATGCTGCCCACTCTCAAGCACCTGCTCCAAAGCCAGACCTCCGTGGTCAGGCTGATTCTAGCCAAGGGCCAAGGACAGGGAGCTGAAAAGCTGCACTTACTGCATCTGTTTCTCCAACTGCCACCTGCTCAGAAAATCGGACCTTCACAGGATTCGATCTCAGCCTGGCCTTCTTCGCAGCGCTGATGAAGGCAGATTTGGGGGACTGGAAAAAGAACAGAGGGCTGATGAGTTCTCTATCCCTGGGAAAAACCTGACCTTTGCCACACTGGAGTTAAGATGTCTCAGTACGGGCATGCTTTGCCTTACTGATCAATAAGTCAATAAATACGTATTGATTCCCTACTAGGTGCAAGGCGATGTGCTAAGTGCTTCCTTCTATGATTGGTGTGTTCTGAAAAAGCTGGGCATGAATTGAATTTGGGTAGACTGAATCCCATTATTAACACTCTGGGCCTGGTGGAGTTTGCCAAAATCCTTTAGCAATAACATCCACTGAATTATTATATGTTTGGTTTGCTTAATGTGAGATATACCTAAATGGTGGTTTTTATTACATCTGAATACAAGCATCTTGAAGGATTTACAGAAATGACCTTATTCATCTCCCAGATATGCCCTGCCCCTAGGAAGGAGATTATAGAAAATGATTCAAGGAAATGCAAGAGTCTAGATGAGGGGAACCCTCATGTCTTCGGGAGCCTTTAATCATTCATGTGACAAGTTTAGGGAGGACCGACTATGTGCCAGGCACTGTTCCAGGTGATGAGGGGTTCAGCAGTTAACAACACAAAGCTCCCTGGCCTCAAAGGCCATATAAGTAGGAACAGACTGACAATAAACAAATATCTTTTAGGTAGCAAATAAGGACTGTGAGGAAAAATCAAGCAGGGTGAGGGACTATACAAGAGACTGTATGAGTGATGGTAGGAGTGATGGGGGTGTTATTTTAGTCAGGATGTGCAGGGAAGACCTCGCACAGGAGGTGATGTTGAAGCAGAGACCCGAAGCAAGTGAGGGAGAGCCAGCCATGAGAATATGTGGAGAAAAAGAGCCAGCCATAAGGATATGTGGAGAAAAAGCCTCCTGGGCAGAAAGAATATTACAGGCTCAGAGGTGGGATTGGGGTGCATGAGGAACAGCAAGGGAGCCCAGTGTGGCCGGAGCAGAATGATCGGGGTGGAGGTGGAGGGGTATGCTCAGAGAGGCAGTTGAGCATTGGGTCAATGTAGGGCCTGGTCAGCCATGGCGAGAACTTTGGATTTCACTCCACTGGAGGGTTACACCCAAAGTAGTGAGACTAGTTCAGAGTGTCCTGTAATAATACAGCTAAAATGGGATGGAGGCTAGGGCTAGGGTAGTAATAATGGAGCTTATGAAAAGTGAGTCAATTTTGGATAGATTCTGAAGATAGAACCAAGATGATATGTTGACGGATTGGATGTGGGAGGTGAGAAAAAAGAGAAGAATCAACTAGAAGAATGGAGTTGCCACTTACTAAGATGAGGAAGACCACGGTGGGAATCAGGTTTGGGGCTCCTTCAAACCACCTCCCCTACCAGCTTGGTCATGGAGCCTGTGCATCCCACAATCAAGAATCCCTTTGAATTAAGGCCCTGAAGGGCCCTGCCAGCTGGTAAGGCAATACATGAAGCTATTTTCTGCCATTTACACTGCATTTGAATTTCATTTACCAGAGCAGCCACAGGAGGGCCGGACCCTAAGATAAAGACACACCAGAAACAAATGTCCTCATCAGGTCTTGGGCCCTGGTCTCAGCTGTGTTCTCGTCCTGAGCCAGCAATCTCATCCCCCACAGAGGGCAGTTTGCAGAAAGCCACCTGTTCAACCCAAGTCCAGTAGGACCTCAGGCAGTGGGTCTTGGTCCTGGCTGTGTGGCAGAAATAGTGGAATGGCTTTAAAAACCCCTAATGCCCGGGCCCCACCCTAGACCAATGACATCAAATTCCTGGGGATGAGGTCCAGGTATTGGTAACTTTTTTTTTAATTTCCAATGATTTCAAAATGCAGCTAAGGTTGCACGAACCACTGAGCTAAAGGAACCTTAGGCTTCCCGTCCTGAGGCATAGAGATAGTTTGTTGGCAGCAGATGATATAGCACAACAAAATCCAGGGCTGGAGATCGTTGCAGAGGGTGATTACAGTATTGATTGTTCATGGGAGTCAAGAAATGCCTTTGTGTGTTGCATAGCTTAGTGCTTAAATCCTGGGCAGGGGCTGCAGGCTGCAGCAGGAGCAAAAGAGAAGGGGCAAGAAAGAAAGATCTGTGGCTATGTTCAGGGAGACTCCACAGCAGTCCAAATTTCCACCTGAGGTGCCACAGACGGGAGGCAGGTGAAATCTTTGTTTCTACCCGACAGTCACGTCCTCCTTTCTCTATAATCATCTGTGAGGGCATGCCTTTGTGCAGTGTGGAACGAGGCATCTCCAGAGGCCTGAATGGGCCATGTGATCCACCCTTCATTTTCACACGTGAAGCGGAGTCCTGGGAAGAGGATATGGTTTACTGCAAGTACCAAAATAATTTGGTAGTAGAGCTGAAACTAGAACCCAGATTTCCTGAGTCTTGGGTTGACGATTATTCCCCACAGCCAGCTGAAGCTGGGTATCCTTTCCTTTTTTTAATGAATATAATTTATTGTCAAATTGGCTTACATACCACACCCAGCCCAACAAGTGCCTTCCTCAATGCCATTCACCCATTTTCCCCTCTCCTCCACCCCCACCATTTTTTTCCCCTTCCCTTCCCCCATGGTCTTCTGTTATGTTTGTCAAGATCCACATACAAGTGAAAACATATGATAGCTGTCCTTCTCTGACTTATTTCACTCAGCATACCTTCCAGTTCCATCCACATTGCTGCAAATGGCATGATTTCATTCTTTCTCGTTGCCAAATAGTATTCCACTGTATTTATAAACCACAATTTCTTTAACCATTCATCAGCTGATGGACATTTAGGCTCTTTCCATAATTTGGCTATTGTTGAAAGTGCTGCTCTAAACATTGGGGTACACGTGCTCCTATGCATCAGCACTCCTGTATCCCTGGGGTAAACTCCTAGTAGTGCTATTGCTGGGTCATAGGGTAGTTCTATTTTTAGTTTTTTGAGAAACCTCCACACTGTTTTCCAGAGCGACTGCAGGATCTTTCATCCAGTGGCTCTGGTTTGACCTTTGAGCATATGAAGAACCGCAACTGGTACCCTTCTGTGTCTTCACCTATGGTGAGGGAATGACTCCTTGAGGTCCTTACCAAAAGTCCCAGATTGGATCCTGTCCTACAGATACCACTATAAACAAAAGACTTATATATTTATAGGAGCAAAATCATGAAAGAGGAAGTGGAATGGCCCATTATTTTCAGGGATTATAATCATTTCCGGTGTCCGTGGTAGAGCTATTTTCAGCTTGTTCGTGCCTCATTCCTTATTGACCCTTGTCCTGTCAGTCTCTAAGAATCCATTCTATTCTCAGTCTTCAGCCTTGATCACTGATGGTGACTCACTCATTGCCAGCTGGGCTCTGCTACACGTCACGGAGTCATAGCTAGCCTTATGCTTCAACACAGGTGATGTCTGCCTTGCAGTGTGATACACCTTGCAGGTGCTCTCAAAGGTCTCCCTGCTCCAAAGCATCTTCGAAGCTCAGCTACGGGGACTGAAGCTCTTAATGCTAGGGTCACTCCTTTGAATTTAAATATTAAGAGTTAGGGGGGTGCCTAGGTGGCTCAGTTGGTTGGGCGTCCAACTCTTGATTTCGGCCCAGGTCATGATCTCATGGTTTGTGAGTATGAGCCCCACATTGGGCTCTGTGCTGACAGTGTGGAGCCTGCTTGGGATTCTCTCTCCCTCTCTGTCCCTCCCCTGCTGGCTCTCTCCCTCTCTCTCAAAATAAATAAATAAAAACTTAAGAAAATATTGAGAATTGGGAAGGCCCTGATCAAAATGCCAATGTGGTACCAGGGAGGAGTAATGAACATAATTCAGGGGTCAGCAGACTACAGCCTGCATGGGCCAAATCCTGCCCACCACCTGTTTTTGTAAATAAAACTTTATTGGAATACAGCTGTGATCTTCACTTATGTATTACTGTCTGTGGTTGCTTTTGCAACTATCATGTATGGTCTACAAAGTTACAATATTTACTATACAGCCCTTTACAGAAAGTTTGCTGACTCCTGCGCTAACTCATTAGCATGCACTCACCCACTGTTTCTAAAACTTTCCTGATGATAAGAATCACTGGGGAGTGCTTGCTAAACCACAGATTTCTAGGCCCACACCAGACTTAAAAAGTCGGAATCTCTAGGAACATAAGGCACAGAATTTATATTGTTGAAAATGTCCTAACCCATTAAGCATAGATTAATTGAGTACCTTAAAGCTGGGACATCTGAGCTCTTCACTGATCCCATTTTTCCTTCAAGCAGTTGGGAGTCTCATTTTGCAACAGGCACCCTTGCTGGTTAAAATGAATTTTGGCTTGAAACATGGGACTGGAATTACTAAGCACCTCCGGGGCCACTGTGAAGCCCCTCGAAGCAAATATGGAGCCAGCAGCTCGGTGGAATAAGCAATAGAGGAGAGAGTCTGCCTCTCCCCCAGGACTTCATTCAGCAGCTGGTGACACTTTGACTATGTTTTAATTTGGTGGCTCTATTAATACAGATTTCAGGGTTGTGTTCAAAGTCAGGTATATGGCCCAACATCTTGGTGTACGATAGGGCCCTACTTTGATTTTGAGAGGTTCCCGAAGGTCTGACAGCCTCCCGATTCTCCTTTCTGCTGGCTCATTGGCTCCTTTCACCTGAGCCTACTTAGAAGCACTTCCCATAGCACTGTGGGAGTCTGGGACAATGGAGGGCCATACTGGTTTCTTTTTTTTTTTTTTTAATTTTTTTTCCACGTTTTTATTTATTTTTGGGACAGAAAGAGACAGAGCATGAACGGTGGAGGGGCAGAGAGAGAGGGAGACACAGAATCGGAAACAGGCTCCAGGCTCCGAGCCATCAGCCCAGAGCCTGACGCGGGGCTCGAACTCACGGACCGCGAGATCGTGACCTGGCTGAAGTCGGACGCTTAACCGACTGCGCCACCCAGGCGCCCCAGGCCATACTGGTTTCACTTGACTACTGATAAGGGACCCAGGGTCTTCCTTCCTGCACTTGGTGCCTGGAGGTGAA